GCAGGGAGCCCGATGCGGGACTCGATCCTGGGACTCCGGGATCATGACCTGAGCCGAAGGCAGTTGCTTAACCAACTGAGCCACCCAGGCGCCCCTGGACAGACATATTTTAAAAATGTGTTAAAGGGTGACTGTTTTTGGCAACTGATACCCGCCTTCCATTTGTGGTAATGATTTGAAGTCTTCATCTTATATGATTTTATTCAGGTTAAAATGTGAGCCGACTTAGAGAAAAGCGCTAGGCAGGTAATATTACACATTGCATGCAGGCATGAAGGAGTCATGCAGATGGCTGAAATTTGAGGCTCTGAAATAAAGCTTCGTGCAGTGAAACTATATTTACGAGTTGGTTATTTAGAGCCCCGAATATATTTTTCACATTAATAGATTAATAGACTATAATCATTCTCATTGATTGATAGTTCTAAAAGATTTGGTTTCCCGGGCGGGCTTCGGAAACCTCTTTGCAGTAGAGTCTCTGCTGGAGATGACAGAAATGAGAAAAAACAATACCATCCTAATAGTAACAGATAAACACTACAATAAAATTAGAAATCCTTGAAATATATATAACTGAATTCTGATGATGCAAGGAAAGGAATTTTTCTTGAGAGAGAGAGTGAGAGCTAGCAGGCAGAGAGGGGCAGAGGGAGAGGGAGAGACAGAATCTCAAGCTGACTCCCTGCTGAGTGCGGAGCCTGTCGCGGGGCTTGATCTCACGACCCTGGGATCATGACCCGAGCCGAAATCAAGAGTCAGACGCTCAACTGACTGAGCCACCCAGGTGCCCCAAAGGGATTTTGACTAAGGGAGTTAGGCAAAGGCATGGTCAGAAATTTTGATGGGGTCTTCTGAGAATAAAAAGATTTTAGAGGGACGCCCGGCCGGCTCAGTTGGTGGCGCATGGGACTCTTGATCTCAGGGTTGTGAGTTCGAGCCCCACACTGGGTATAGAGATTCCTTGAAAATAACCACTTAAAATTGTTTTTAAGAAGATTTTAGAGGCTGGCAATTGATCTTCCCATTTCTAATTTAGTTTCAGAGCATCTGTCTTGATCCTAGAAAGACCCAGTGCGTGTGTTATTCATATTAGTCACGATTAATTGTTTGGCTCACTGATGGACTGAAGGGAGGGAGAGAAGAATATCCCTGGATCGGTGGGCACGAACTGGAAAATGGTGAAAAGGGAAGAAGGAGGTTAAAAGGGTGGAGGCGACAATGTGGGAACGAGATTGTCAGAAGTGGAACCGGCAATGAAGACCCTTGGGCCGCGGGAAGCAACAGGTCCTCGCCGGAGAGGTCCCATCTCTGGCCACCAGGGGGCAGGACGGGCACGGTACGGCCTGGCCGCCAATCAGGCTACTTGCAGGTGGACATGTGTGTAGGTCAGCGTCCCGCGGTGGGCTGGAGCCAGCTGGGACTGGCCTGCAGTGTCTTGTGAGAGCAGCTCTTTTCAAATCCCCCCTCCCGGCACTCAGAGAAGTCGAGCTGGTAGCTAGAAATCAGACATGGTGGGAAGGCCGGCAATATCTATACCCCAGAAACTGGCAAATGCTACGTGTAGTAAAGGCTTTTGTCCCCGAGGAGCCTGTTGTCAGTGACTGACCAGCCAAGCACTGGGCATCCCTCTGCAACTGGCTGTTTATATTTACAGTTTTTAAGAGGTGTGAGCTTACCGTTGTGCGTTTTTCTTCACCTGCCTTGCGAGCCAAATTGTGATCGCAGCCTGGACTGGGCGAGCCAGCCCTCAATCCCGTGCCCTTAAACATCTGGGGAATGCCTGCTTACAGGATTAAAGGATTAGAAGGTTTGCCTTTTTGTGAAGGTATCATGAAGAGAAGGCTCCTCTGGCCTGACGTCCTGGCCTCCCCTCTCACGGCAGGTGTGGAAGCTAGAGCACGTGCCCGCCGGTTAGCATGGCTGCGAGAGCCGAGTACCCCCCGACCCCACACAGTGGCCACCACCCCCCATCAATTTACCGTGATACTGGACTTCCAAAAACTTGATTCGAATACGACTTCCCACTCGGGATATAAAGTACAAACGTACGCATCGCAGCTTCTGGTGGAGTGAGCCCCAGAGCCATCAAGCCAGGGTTCAACCCTGAAAACTTGGGGTGATCTTGCTTTGGCTCAGCCGGCCAGGGCTGGCTGATTCATGGGGGGAAGACCCTAGGCAAGATACGTAGGTTTTGATTTCTTCGCTTGTTTTTTTTTGCCCTAAGATTTATTTATTTATTTGAGAGAGAGAGCATGAGTGGGAGAGGGAGAGGGAGAATCTCAAGCAGACTCCCCGCTGAGCAGCTGCACCTGACATGGGGCTCGATCTCACGACCCTGAGATCATGACTTGAGCCGAAACCAAGAGTCGGACGCTTAACCGACTGAGCCACCCAGGCGCCCCTGATTTCTTCACCTGTAAAGTGGGAGTAATCATGCTACCGCACAAGGTTTGCAATGCGATGGTTTATGTCTAGTGAGGAGAACAATGCCTAGCACATTGAAACAAAATAGTGTATATTTTGAGCTTCCTTTAGGATGAACGCAGAACTTCATCCACACAATATAACCTAAGACCATCTGGTCTCCTTCGACAGTGCCTGATTATCTGCCCAGGAAAGAACCAGCCTTTATAAATGCCCCCCCTTTCCAGATCAGTTTCATTCAATGGGCTTTTGCGTTTCCTCTCAGTTGATCTGCAGAGTTAGTCCCCAACACTACTGGGTTTCCTCCTTTCCCCTCTCAGTCCCCACAAGGTGATTAACGAAAGGCACCTCTCTTTCCTTGGCTGCATTCAAAGGAAATGGTGGGAGGTTCTCCCGGCTTTGAAAACCTTACCATAATCAGTCTGTGCTCTTTCTCTATTCCCTGTGACTGCCCCTCGGTATCGGCTCGCTGAGACACTTTATTAGCAAATATTTATCAGAGACATTACCTTTCATGAAACAACCTGCTCTGGTCCAGGGGCTGTGCTAACAGAGTACGGATTCTGCTTGTGCTGCGTTCAGTCAGAACTTCCCATTTGAAGGCAGATCTTTCTGACTCTGAAGCTTGTCCTTCCTCATCTACTTTGGATGGCCTCGGACCTAGCAGGAGCAGAGTATCTTCTACATACAGGGCACTGGACGGGGGCAAACAGAGAAAGACAGAAGTCCAGATATGGGACTTTTGTCAGAGAGACTCGTTGGACCATTATTTCAGCTGTCCAGAAATTCTAGACACTGCTCTGCAGATCCTTCGGTCCCAGGCACCTGGGCTCCACTGGGTGGGTTTGAGCCCCAAGCAGGGAACGTGACCATCTTCAATTCCTTCCAGCTCTGAGAGAGGCACGGGACATCCGAACGCACCTGATGCCACTCTCCCGCCACCTGGAGCTCCTTGAGAGCCTGGAGTTTCCCGAGGTGAAGCCACGGCTGCGTCCCCTGCTCCACGTGGTCTGTCTGATCTGGGCCACCTGCGAGTCCTATCGCTCCCCAGGGCGGCTCACCATACTACTCCAGGAGATCTGCAACCTCCTCATCCAGCAGGTCAGCCGTCCGGGATTCCCGACCACCTTCCCCGGGGGCGGGGGCTGGGGCGGGGGCACCGAGTCACAGGGAAGAGTAAAGGGTGAGCTTTTTTCAGGGCAGGGAAATAATCATGGTCCAAAGGATTCTCATGCTTCAATTATTTTACTGTTACCGCCAGTAAGTCGCAGACGTATCCTCAGTAGTACTGGTTACGTGGGAGGACCAGTCTTCCTTCCCCCTCTGCCCACGACTCAGGGTCAGGCAAAGGGTGGGCGTGGTGAGTTTCAACCTCAATGCTCTGTGCCCACGGTCAGCGGCAAAGCCCAGCGGTTAAGAACGCTGCCTCCAGAGCCCAGCGTCTTTGTACCAAATTCTGCATCACCACCTGTTCGCTGTGTGTGCCTGGGCAAATTACTCACCTGCTCTGTGCCTCAGTTTCCCCACTGTGCAATGGCAAAAAGAAGAGGACCTGTCTGCATCCAGTGCTCCCATGCCATCCACGTGCTATGAGCTCAGTGCCTGTGGGCTACAGAGAGACAGCTTCTTGGACCACACACTCCACACTCCTCCTCCTTAGGGACTCCATTGCAACACCACCCAGCACAGCATAAACCTCAGGCAGTCTGTAAACAGAACTCGGGACCATAATGAGGCTTGGGTGATCTGCCTCCCAGATTGGCTTCTTCTACCTCTAAGGAGCTGTGACCCCGAGAACACAATGAACATATATAAAGAGTGATTGGTAACAACTAACATCTGCAGAGCACATTGCAGCCTGCCAGATGCTGTGACATTCGAGACCTTGCCATTTTCAGACGAACCCTGTGAGATGGGCAGGAAGAGCCTTAATAATTTGTTATTAATATTTAAAGATAAAGATTGAGGAAGTTAACTGAGTCACCAAAGATCACCCAATCCAGGACCGGAAGCCAGTTGACTATGAGACCAGCATCCTTCCATCGCTGCCTGTTTGTCAGCCAGGACTCTTGTGGTTGGAAGGATAAGAAAACCCAACTAAAACTAGCATCGACAAGAAGATAATTTATTAGTTCATGTACCTCAAAAGCCCGAGGTAAGGCTGGCTCCAGCCCCAGCAGACAGGAAGGGCTCAGATGATGTCACCAGGATGGGGTTATTTCTGTCCTGCCCAGTGGTGGTGAAGGCGGCTGTCCTGCTTCAGCCTCCTACCTTTCCAGGTCCAAGGCTCTTGGAAACAGGTTCTCATAGAATTCTTGCTTTTGAATTACTTGACTATAGAAAGCCAATTAGTCACAAGAGAATACCTGGGAAAGAACACCTCCCCCAGCCGCAGCCCCAGCCCCTGCTGGCCCAACCGAAGTTCACCGTGGGTCCTCTGCTTGGCATTGGCCCATGCCTGAGCCAATCCCACACAGTCTGGCTCGAGCCCAGGTCCCAGTCCACCTGCGAAACTGAGGACGGGGTCAGAGGTCTCCTAGAGGATGCTTCTGAAAAGTACTCTTGCGTCAATTATTCCATTCAGAGTTGGGGGGATGGGCAAAAATTGTAGACTGCCCTGTGCCCATGCATGCTCAGCGCCCCCTGATCTGTTTGCATCCCAGGCCTCAAATTATCTCTGCCCGGAGGGCCTCCTGAGAAGTGAGGTGGAGGAAAGTCAAAGGAAACTGCACGTGGCCGTGGACACATTGAGCTTCTTCAAGCAGGGGTTTCAGGACAGAAGGGAGCATCTCTGTGCTTACTTCAAAGAGAACCAGGAGGTCAGGCAGTGGGATTTCCAGTCTTCTTTGGTCTTCGAGCGATTGGATGGCTTCCTGGGGCGGCTGCTCATGGTGCAGGTGAGTGTTCTCATTCACTGTCAGGCTCCTGGCTGCATACAGAAGGAATCAATAGCAGGAGAAGGCGGGCAGATGAATGGAGGGGATCCAGGGAAGGGCAGACACAGAACCAGGGAATGTCACTGGTATTAAATGCCACGATGAACGTGAAACTGGTGTGTTAACTGGGAGCAGGAAAGAGGGCTCCCTAACCCAGAGGGGCTCTGGGAAAGAGGGGAGCATGAGAGAAAATACATTTCGAAACCGGAGTAGGACTTCTCCAGGGAAAGAAGACGGGGAAGGGCAGAGAGACAGAGAAAGTGTCTAAGCGAGAAAGCCAGAAGCTAGATCTTACGCGAGGCACACCTTAAATCCTTCACTGGATCGTGGAGAATACAAATAATGGGCATCTAGCTTTACCCTAAGTCCTCCTGCTTCCGTCTCTTCCTCTTGGGATCAACCCCTTCCCCGCTGCTTGGCCCAGGTGACGGACCTGCTCCAACCTGCCCAGGCTGGCGACCAGCACCCCTTGCAGGCTCTCCTCACCCCCGGCAATGGAAGGGGAACCCTGCCTCGGGCCCTGTGCACGCGCTAATGATGTGACTTTGCATACAGACCGCTATTCTAACATCGGGGCATCTAATCTGCTGGGTGTCTTCAGTAAACACAAGCAGCGATGGCCATCGGTCTCCCAGGAGTTACCCTCACCAGTGGCTCGCAGGCTGCCTCTCTCTCTGAATCAAGGGCACAGATGCATAAAAAGCAGTTGCCCCAGTTTAATTAGAGGATGGCTTGAATGTCACCACGCTGTGTCTTCCTGCTTCTTCCCCCCCTTGAGTCTCCTGTCCTTCACTCTGGCTTCCCTCTCCACTCTGAGGTCAGGTCCCACCTCTTCTTTCCTTTTCCTGCCTGCCTGCCTTCCTTCCTTCCTTCTTTCCTTCCTTCCTTCCTTCCTTTCTTCCTTCCCTTCTGTTAGTTCTTCCTGTTTTGTTTTCCTTACCTTTTTGTTCACCCTGCATTTCTGTGATCTTCCTTTACCCATGGCTGCCCCCACCCCCTGTGTTAGCATTTCCTCCCCTCTGCCAAGTTTCTTCTCCCTCATGTTCGCTCTGACTCATCCCCTTGCCCTCTGGCCCCCCCATCGCTTCCCTCCTCGGCTCAGCGCAGAGGACACGGGGCTATTGATCTTCTGGGAGCATATTTCATGTGGCCCCGTAGTTAACATTCTGTGTATCTCTGTGATCAATGCCCGTTTGAAACAGGATTAATCTGCTTCCTTCCAGCAAGAATTAACATGAACCTCACCTTCTTCATCTTGCTGTTCTAATATGTGGCCACCGAGACGTGGGTGGCAGGAATTAACAAATACACGAAGCCACGTTAATAAAATGACACTCGTACCTTTACCCTTCTGCATGCCCATGGCCGGGGTTATGTTGTAAAAAGGCTGGCTTTTCATCTCTGCAGTTCCCTTGGATTCTTCCCCTCTGATTTGTATTGCTTTTCTCCCTGCTCTTTGGCACAAGAAAGTTTTATTGTGCAGATGGCCTCTTCCCTCTGGGCACCTGCTAAAACGAAAGTGGGGGCTGGGCGAGGAGGGGGCTGGGGGAGCTGTAAGTTTCTGAGCAGAGTCCGCAGGTCTGAGCGTGCAGAAGGATTGTGTTCTCAGGTTAACCTCCTCCTCCT